CATACGTAACACAACAAAATAAAGGCTCTTTCAAGCTTTCTCATATCGAAAAAAGGAGGAGACACTTGCTGAAGGGGTGAAGTAGAGCTTACTGCTGAATTGTGAATTCTGGTGCACTTTCAAAGAAGCTGAGAAATGTCAAAAAAGGTTTACTATGTGTTGTTCTCCTAGACAAAGGCTTTTCGTGAATGTGTGCTAAAATTTCATGACCACCAATGCCCGTCCCGTGAGCTCTAAGTTTTTTTGTTATATAGAAACAAGATGCCGCGCAATTCGGCTTGGTAGGGGCCTTAAACGGTACTTAGCGAACCTTGTGCAGGCAAGTCATCTTGTGACGACCTGTGATTCCAGTGGCTAAAATTGCTCACTTGAGCCACTTGGCAGCTTCAAAGAGGTTTAAAAACCTCATAAAGTTGTGAACTATTAGTTAACATGCATCAGGACATGCACGCGGGCTCGTATTTGGCCGCGGGAGTGTCGAGGGTCCTACTGGCTTCCAAGAAAAATGTTTTTGATCATTGACTTTCACTGATTTTCCCGTTTCTTTGGCACTGTACCGCTTCCCTGCTCGACGGTAAGTGGAGAATCTGTATAGAAAGTTAAACCTGGGGAGAATTTAGGAATATGGTCGGGGGGACGGAGAAGGGGGATCGTACCTGAGGAAAAAATTTCCTGAGAGTGGTCGTATTCTGCAGAATTTCTCCCCAACTACAGCACGTGTCCTGCTGAACTAGCAAATGGATTTAGCAAAAATGCATAATGCCTATCAACTCATAAGCTGAACAAGGCTCAAGAAAAAACCAATACATAGCTTACGTGAAATAGCAAGATAGATATCTTCCCTTTGAGAAGAGATAAGGAAACTTTCTTGGGAATGAAAAAAGGTGTTCCTCGCTCACCGTATGAATGAAGTCAGCCCTTTCGCCACTCCTTTATACCCACTCCTTAATAGACACTCCGTTCTAACCATAAGAAGGCAAGGTAAAGACCTTTGAGAAGGCACGATGGTAGACCTGACCCCGCCCTCGCAACCAGCTTGAGCTGCGCTTTCAACTGCCTTTCATCAGCTCGAACTAGTTAAGAGTAGTAAGAAAACTGATGCTAGCCATTTTTTAGTAGAAGATAGTAGTAAGATAGTAGTGAAGTGCTTGTTGATAGTAAGCTGGGTGCAGTTCGCTTAGAGGGGCAATTGCTGGCTCCCATCGATCACTACCGTTGTCTTCTGAGAACCTGTAAATTCCTCTGAAGAGCAGGATCTAGTTTAACAAACGGGGATTAATAAAAAGAACAAGCAGATGTGAAAAATGCCTCTCCCAGCCGTACAATATCTTGTAGCCTACAAGAGTTTATAGTGTTTGTCACAACCAAAGTAAACCGCTGTGCATGTCCGTCAGGACTAAACGGCTGAACATGCCCATGAGAAAATGTGTGCTATGGAGAGAGAGAATGGGGAACGGCAAATTCTGGGAAGCCTTACCCATCGCGATGAGATACCCACATCACAACACCCGAGTGGGGTGAACCAGGGTAAATCTTGTTTTCAGAGTTTGCCTAGTTGTTTAATGTGGGCGAATTCTTGGATTGTAGCGAGTTACATACTAGAATCAGTAGTTTTCTCTTGGTTTGCAAGAGAAATAATCGGTGCTGGCCGAGAAGACAAGTTGTTGAGAGTTCTGGAACGTCGACTGTGAAGATTCAGCTCATTCTCATTGCTGAATAAACAAAGTACCTAGCACTGG